CACTCCAGTCTGGGGGACAGATTGTGAGACTCCAACTCAAAAAAAAAAAAAAAGTTTAAATTATAGAATCAATGTAAACAATATATCTGTACTGTTCATAAATAATTATCTGTTTTAAAATATATTTTATGTTTTGTTTTGTTTTCTGAGTTGGAGTCTTACTCTGTCGCTCAGGTAGATTAAAGCCACCGTAGCCTCTACCTTCTGGGCTCAGGCGATCCTTCTTCCTCAGCCTTCCAATAGCTGGAACTACAGGCATGCACCACCATGCCTGGCTAACTTTTTGATTTATTGTCGAGACAAGGTCTCGCTGGCTTGCCCAGGCTGGTCTCGAACCCATGATCTCAAACAGTCCTCTCGCCTTGTCCTCCCAAAGTGCTGGGATTACTGGCTTGAACCTCCATGCCCAGCCTAAAATATATTTTAAATTGTACCAGCTCATCTTGATTTTTTTTTTTTTTTGAGTTGGAGTCTCACTCTGTCACCCAGACTGGAGTGTAGTGGCACGTTCCCAACCACTGCAGCCTCGACCTGCTGGGCTCAGGCAATCCATTCGACGCTACCTCTCAAAGTGCTGGGATTACAGGTTGAGCCACTGAGCCCAGCCTTAGTTTTCTTTTAGATAAAAATCAGTTATTCTCGAAAGCATTCTTGTTCTCTTTCCTCACTCTATGTATTTGTGCACATTAGGACTAACTTACTGGAAATTGGAGGAGAAGGACATGTATCACTCTTTGCCCGAAACTTTAGAGAAGACATTTGTACCATTGTCCTCCACAGATTTGTTACCCAGCCAGGTAATTTAGAAAAACATTGTGTGTTTTTGTGTATTTGTGTTTTGAGATAGTCATTAAGTACTCCATTATAAATTTTACATTTTTTAACTTCAGGAATACTGGAAAAAGTATATGGAATCTTACTCTTCTGTTTTTAAATTCTGTCTCTGTCATTTATTCCTTATGTAATCTTTGGGATGCTATTTAAAAATAGAATTTAAAATACTGATTAGTGTTCCGTGAATTTTTTTTTCTTTTTTTTGAGTCAAAGTCTCACTCTGTTACCCAGGCTGGAGTACAGTGGCACTCTCACGGCTGATTTCTTTTTTGATTTATTGTAGAAACGAGGCCTCACCAAGTTGCCCAGCCTGGTCTCAAACCCCTGGACTAAGGCAATCTTTTCACTTTGGCCTCCCAAAGTGCTAGGATTACAGATGTGAGCCACAGTGCCCAGCAAGTGTTCTGTGAAATTAAATGAATGGCTTGTGCCTACTATTTTTTTTTAGATTAGAAAATATAGTTTATTTTTAAAATAAATTAGAGAGAAAGAGAGATGATTCACCTTCTCAAGGGAGAGGAGGGAGCCAAAGCCAGGAAACATGGTAACGGCCATAGCTCAAAGAACACATGGCCACACCGGAGTCTAGTAAGGCAATGACCGTGCCTAGTATTTCAGATGCAGTAGGTCCTAATTTCTTCCCCTTTTCCCAGGCCTAAAGTTGACTTTTCATCCTATTACATGTACCATTGATCCATTTGTGCTATTATTATTAATAATTTAATTGGCTGTATTTTCTTTGAGCAAGACATGTAAATTTTTTTATTGCAGAGCAAAGGAATAAAACTTTATTATGTGTACATCAGTGTACATATTTCACTTCTGTATCTTGATCAGGTAATGAGAGACTGTAGGTTGGGAAAAAGGAGAAATACAATTAAAGTAACCAGGAGACATGTAAAAATGAGTGACATGTGCAGACATATGGGATGACTCACTTATAAGCATCAGAATCCCAGAGAGTAACATTCCATACTTCAAAAAAGGAACAAAAAGAGACAGATAAACACAAAGAGAAATGGAATATGTGAGAGGTAAGGTTGTGAGGGGGCATGGAGGGCTTATAGTAGGCTTTGTAGTTATAGGGCACAGTGTTATCTGATCTTGAACATCGGTAAATTAGTACTGTATTTTGTTGACTCTAAGATGCAATCAATTTTGGTTTTTTTGTTTTTTTTTTGAGTCAGAGTCTCACTCTGTTCTCACTCTGTTTCCCAGGCTGGAGTGCAATGGCATGCTCTTGGCCACCCCAGCCTTGACCTGCTGGGCTCAGATGCTCCTTCTGCCCCATCCTTCCAAGTAGCTGGAGCTACAGGCGTGTGCCACCATGCCCAGCTAATTTTTCTTGATTTATTGTAGAGATGAGGTCTCGCCAAGTTGCATAAGCTGGTCTTGAACCCCTGGACTCAGGCAGTCCTCTCACCTTGGCCTCCCAAAGTGCTGGGATTATAGATGTGAGCCACTGCGCCCGGCCCAATTTTAGGTCTTCCCATTTCATTATATAGCAAGAAAAACAATTTACATATTAGACTGATACATGCTTTCTTAGAATTTATATTTTGTTATTATGGAAAAAGCTTTTAGATTTAAATATAGATTTTTATCTAACTCTTCTGCATAGTTTAAAAAAAAACATAAGTGAAATAAATGTAGTTGAAACTCCTTCCTCTTCAGAGGCTTACAATTCTCTCTTTTCAACTCAGTGTTGGTTTCTGTGTTTTTTCATACATCTTCCTCCAGGCAACCACGAGCATTAATGTTTTGGTGTTTCCTTAAAAAGAATGAAAAGGACCAGACACAGTAGCTCGTACCTATAATCCCAGTGCTCTGGGATGCCAAGGCAGGACGATATTTGTTTATCAGCATGCAGTGACAATCATGTCACAGCCATTACTTGGCCAAAATAGTTATATCATTAATTGCAAGAAGCATCCTCACTTCCGAGATGTTAACATATTAAGAGAACATTATAAATGTGCTGAGCCGGGCTCGATGGCTCAGCCTGTAATCCCACGCCTTGGGAGGATGAGGTGATTGGATTGCCTGAGCTCGCGGGTTCGAGACCCGCCTGGGTAACTTGGCGAGACCCCCATCTCTACAATAAATCAAAAAATAATCCGGGCATGGTGGTGCGTGCCTGTAGTTCCAGCTACTTGGAAGGCTGAAGCAGAAGGTCAAGGCTGTGGTGGCCGTGAGTGTGCCACTGCACTCTAGCCTGGGCAACAGAGTGAGAATCCCAACTCAAAAAAAAAATCTTTTTTTTTTCACTTCCTTTTTTTTTTTTTAAGACTGGAGTGCAGTGGCACACTCACGGCCACTGCAGCCTTGACCTGCTGGGCTCCGGCGATTCTTCCACTTC